TCCCTCCTCCTTATGACACCCTTTTAAATACCTGAAAACTGCTATCATGTCCCCTCTCAGTCTTCTCTTTTCCAAACTAAACAAACGCAATTCTTTCAGCCTTCCTTCATAGGTCATGTTCTCAAGACCGTTAATCATTCTTGTTGCTCTTCTCTGGACCCTCTCCAATTTCTCCACATCTTTCTTGAAATGCAGTGCCCAGAACTGGACACAATACTCCAGTTGAGGCCTAACCAGTGCAGAGTAGAGCGGAAGAATGACTTCTCGTGTTTTGCTCACAACACACCTGTTAATACATCCCAGAATCATGTTTGCTTTTTTTGCAACAGCATCACACTGTTGACTCATATTAAGTTCAAAAGAATATTAGGAAGTTCAAGCTAATGAAAAGAACAGTTATTTACCATACAGTAACCGTGGTTCTTCAAGAAGCTGTCTGTGTGGATCCCACTGTAGAGATGTATGCGCCTCACACACGAGATTGAAGTCTTTTGATTAGTAGTGTCTATCGGGGAAGACAGTCTGAAGAGTTTTATTCTATCAATCTAATAAAGCAAGGCTCTGGAAACAGGCAAAATGCAATTTCTTCTCTTCTGGTATAGAGTGGGGATTTAGGAAAGAAGACGGAGATTGAATGATTCTCACAGAACTCAGACCATCTTGGGAATGAACTTAAGAGTGAGGTTTCAGCACCACTTTGCTCATATGAAATGTTGTATAGAGAGACTCAGCCTTAAGTGCTTGAAGCTCACTATCTCTCAGCCAAAGTGATGGCAACTAGAAGGACTGTCTTCAGGATGAGATGATGTAAGGAGAATTCCAAAAGAGGTTCTAAAGCAGGGGTGGGCAAACTACGGCCCACAGGCCGGATCCGGCCCGTCAGGGCTTTGGATCCGACCCACGGGATTGCCACCCCCGTGGTGCCACAGGCCCCGCGCCGCTCCTGGAAGCAGCCAGCACCACATCCCTGCGGCCCCTGCGAGCCTTCTGCCCCCCCTGCTCCTCCTCCAGGGGCCACAGAGACGTGATGCCAGCCGCTTCCGGGAGCGGCGCAGAGCCAGGGAGCCTGTCTTAGCCTCGCTGCGTGCTGCTGCCATCCCGGAGCTGCTCCAGGTAAGTGGCGCCAGGCCAGAGCCCGCACCCCAAACCCTTCCTGCACCCCACGCCCCAACCCCCTGCCGCACCCCTCCTGCATCCCAACCCCCTGCCCTAAGCCCCCTGCCATACCCTGCGTCCCAACCCCCTGCCCTGACCCCCACCACACCTTGCACCCCCCCCTCCTGCCCCAACCTCTTGCCCTGAGCCCCTTCCTGCACACCACACTCCCTCCCACACCCCACATCCTGCCCCAGCCCTACATTCATGGCCCTGCATGCAATTTCTCCACCCAGATGTCGCCCTCGGGCCAAAATGTTTGCCCACCCCTGTTCTAAAGGGAGGCTCAGTGAGCCTCAGGAGGATGATACTGAGATCTCAGGCAGTAGGCCCTTGAGACTATTTTTTACCATCAGGCGGGAGAAGACCAAGCATGACAGCACAGGTGGATGGCAAGCAGAGATTGCTACCAGGCAGACATTAATGGAGTGGAACAAAAGGCCAGAAATATTTGAAATGCAACCAGTAGTCAAGGATCTTTGGTATCAAGGGCCCTGACTGTGCTGAGCTGCCCATACTGAGAACCTCTTTCATTTTGAGTACTAAGTCTTTCTGGTAGAGATCTTCCTGCTCTGTATCAGGATCTCTTCAACCTGCAGGGAGCAGTCTCTGTCCATGGTATTTAACCAAACAGCCATGCTGTCAGATTCAGTGACCTTGGGTCTGGATGGAGTATCTGACAGTGGTGGTGTGAAATCAGATCTGGGCAGTCTGGGAACTGGAAATGTGGTTGAATGAACATCTGTAGCAGGTTTGCCAGCCAAAACTGGACTTGGACAACAGGGAGCTATGAGGATGCTCATGGCTCTGTCTTATTATTTTGGACACCGGAATAGGGAAGGGGGACTTGGTGAGAAGCCATATACCGGGCCTTAATTCCACTGCAGAAGGAGAGGGTCTGGTAATGATCCTGTGCTCACACCCCTTCTGGGACAAAAGTTCTGACATTTCACCATGTACGTGAACACTGACCTATGGCCTAACAACCTAAGGCAAGTCCATACTATTGTAGTCAGGTTTGATTTTCTCTCTAGTAACAGTGACTGCAACAACAGGAACCCGTCCTGAGGCAGTTACGCTCTGACTGACCTGGAATTTATCATGGCCCCTATGAACTCAATCTTGTGTGATGGGATAAGAGACTATTTTTCATGGGGTTCACCAGGAGGCCCAGCTGGGTGAACCCTGAAGAGGGATGGGGAAGAAGGGTGGGTAAAGCATAAGGAGTGGATATAGATGAGATTGCCACAGGCTATGATGCCTAGCACCCATTTGTCAGCTGTGATAGGAGACCAAGCCTACTGGAAAGATGAAAGGCAAATGTGGTAAACAGGCTCTGGACTGCCATTTATGTGACGACCAAAACCCCCATCAAACCTACTGCATCTGAGAGGGTGGCAGAGGTGACCGCCATCCCCTGCTTTTTGATAGGGAAGCAATCCTCGTCGGGGTTGTGGTACACCAAAGAGCCAGTACCGCCTTTTCCTGGGTCACTGTGGTTTCAATGTCCAAGGTTGCTGCAATCCAGGAGAGGTGGTCTTGAAGCTATCCATCGCTGGTGTTGGGACCTGTTATCGCTTTCTCATCTGTCAATGACAATATCTCAGGCATGGATGGAGGTTGGTGCTGTCCCTCCGTTGTCACATCAAGGTGTTTTTTGAGACCAATGTCTGGCTGAGGCATGGCTGACCAGGCTAGTAAGATCACTGGAGAGTAAGATCTGCTTCTCCTTGATGCATGGGAGAGGGATCGGCTCTAGGACATGTGTGATGATGGACCCCAATTCAGACCAATAGGGCCAAGGTAACATCATGAAAACACTGATAAAATACAGGTTGACCGACTCAGTGTCACTTGTGCCTCACTTGAGTGGCTTCCTGTATTCTCCTTAGGGACGGGTCCCAATGGTAGGAAACAGGGGGGTCTCTAGTTGAAATCAGTGAAAACCAGTAGGTCAGCAAGGGTGATGAGTATATTTTCTCGAATGGTGATGTCATAGATTGGTGTGACCCTGGATCCAGCACCAGCTGTAGTCTTGATGTGGAACATCTCTCAGGAAACGATGCAGATTCCTCCATTAGGATACATCTCCGGTCTTTGATGGGCAGAGTCAGCAGTACAAATATCTGTGCCTTCGCTGGTTGCAGGTCACCCCTCCAACTGTGCCATGCTAGTGGTTCGTCTTGGAAGCGAACGAAAACTGGGAGATTTTATTTTTAGAGGACTAGTGTTGGGGTCCTCCTTGTGGAATATTCCTTCATTATGCTTATGCTCTGTCCAGCCCCAGTTCTGCCTTTCACTGTTGGGGGCATGGGTGCCGGATCTGTAAAAGCTGAGGTTGTCTGTGCTAATGTTGTCAGTCCCCTCTTTAATGCCTACTTTTCAATGCTGGATCCTGGAGCACTGTGTCAGATTGAAGGAGTGCTGGCTGCTGCTGCTGATTTCTTCAGCTCTGATCTAGCAGATGTCGCTTCCTTGGGGACAGAAAAGACTCGCATGGACTCCACTAAGAGATGTAGCTTGAGTCAAGCATCCCTAGATTTGCAAGTCCTTGATGAATAGGACCAATATGCTGAGCATTGGTATAGGATGTTACTTTCCACCAAGCAGAATAGGCATCAAGTAGGTCATTCAGTGAGGGGGGAAATGAGGCAGTCACAGGGCAGGCAGAGTTTGAATCCTGATGGTTTAGAGTCTGCCACGCCACTGCAATAAGCGCCTCACCTCATTATTGGAGGGGTACCAAATACTTTTCTTTTTCTAAAATGTCCAATTCTGGGATTTGCAAAGAGGAAAATAAGTTCTCAGAAGATCTGTGGAAAAAACAACCAGACTTTTGAAGCTCTGAAAAGAGTAGTGGATTGGATACTCAGTGGGTTCAATCTTGCTACCACCGGCAGTAAGAAGGAGCTGGGGGAGGGTCATTTGTCCTTTTATACCCTCACACGGGAGCACTAGGAGACACAGGATGTGCCACCAGAAACTGCTATTCAAAAGCCTCTGTTACGTGCATGAGCCAAGTGTGGCACCTACAGCGGGCTCCACACTGACACATACTTGAAGAAGAAACAAGGGTTATGATAGAAACTTCTTTTGGAAACCGTCTAAAGAGGATATTAATAATGAAATCAGTAGCTGAAAATAACATTGTACAGATTATATTTTAAGCAGCTATTATTAGCCCTAGTAACACTGTAGAGGTTCTACAAAGTTAAGTAAATACATCTTTATCTTTGTTAAATTTCATTGGGAGATCAGCCCTTTCATTAGAATACTAGAAAACATGATTACCTTAAACGCATCCACAAGTGCAATGCAGTCACTCTTACTATTTCCAGAAAAATTCATTTTATTCCTGGGAATGCAAACAAAAAGGTATCAAGATAAACAATGAATAAGTTTAAGGCTATTCTGTAAGGTTCTTATACCACCCTCATCATGGTAGTATCTCAGTGCCCTCCAACAGTGCATTAAGCAACTGTCTCGTGTGGTTTGTTCCCTCTCATATCATCACCCCATGGGGCGAACTATGTGTAGTATAGTGTTTTAGTAGGGTTTTGGTTTTTTTAGAATGTGCACACTACTATGTATTTATGTTAGAGAAGGCAAAGGATAAAGTGTGGCTTTCATTTAGAGCAGACGGGGGGTTGTGGAGGTACTTAGTTCACATCGAAGTCCATTTCAGGGTTTCAGTCTGGTCCTGAGAAAGCTTGGTTTTCTGTACAGACTAGCTTTATTCTTATAGTAAAAAGGCAAAGTAATATGTTCTCAGCATTGTGACTGAAAAGAAGAGATCAACCCCCCCACCCCACCCCCACAAAGTGCTTACAGTTTAGAACAGGCCTGCACAACTCGTAAAGTGGCGAGGGCCATATTACTCCAAAGAAAACAGCTGAGGGAAACCCCCCCCCCCCCAGCACCGCCAAAACACCACCATCCCAGCCCCCCCCGAAACACAACACCCCTCCCCCGCACATCGGTTCGTTGAGCGGCAAATCCCAACGAGCCTTTATAGACCCCAGGGACCAGCCTGCCCAGGGGCTGCTCCCCAGACCCAGTTTCCCCTCCCTCCCCCCCGAAGGGTGCCCCCCCGCAAGCCCTCCCCTCCCCACCCCACCCCGGCGGCCCCCACCCTGAGTCCACTCACTGGCTTTGCCGGGCTTGGGCCGCTGCAGCAGCTCGGCAGGGAGGAGCCGCCTTCCGGAGGCACTGGAGAGCCAGAGCGTTCCGCTTGCAACGGTGAGCCCCAACCATGGAGTAGCTGGCGCAGTGAAGGGGGGCAGCAGCCCTGCAAAGGCGGCGGCATGGCTAGCAGCCACGCCCCCCGCCCTCCTGCCCAGGCTGCGGCCCAGCGCACCGCCCCCCCCGGGGCTCCTGCAAGCTGCAGCGGATGCATTTGGGTGCCAGCCCCCCATGTGCCCCCCGGCATGCCCCCATGGGCCGCATGTTGTGCAGGCCTGGTCTAGAAGACAAAAACCCAAGACTCTCTGGAGAAGCAGCATGGCTGGCTGGGTATTTGTTTTAAAAACAAGAAGTTAAATATCTTGAAAGTAAAATACCTGTATCCATCAAGATGCTGCCTGAAAGGCATTGCAAAAAAGTTCTTGAAAGAGAGTGCTGCAGCTGTAACAAAAACAGATGGAAATTAAGAGCTGCAACAAGTCTGGATGTAGTTTTATGATGACTGTTCTTAAATGCTTTTTGTTCCCTCACCTACCTATAATAAGGCATTCTTCTAAACATCCAAAGACATGGCCAAGAACTATTAGCTTTCCGAGGTGCTGGTCCACAGGTAATTGTGCCAATACTCTTCCCAAGAAGGTTAGCTCACCATCATAAGGATTTTCTTCTTCAGGATGTGCACTAATTGCAAGTGCTCCCATCTTTATAAAATTAATTATATGGTTAATAGACTCAACTTTGCCAACATCTAAGACCTTTGCATCCAAAAAAAACAAAAACAAAAATCTGGCCTAGAACAATAATTGAAATTAGTAGCAGAAACCACTATAGGTGCTTGCTGGAGAAAAAAATGTTGGGGAGCTTAAACCAAAATTTAAAAAGCCCATTTTTTTGCAGCTGAAACTTGTGTGGTAGAAATTGAAGATACAAATGAACTACGCTATTTTTAAACTGTTATTCATGTGTTTGGGGAAAGGAGGATATGTTTAATGTCATTAATGCTCCCGCAGTGTTTATGAGCAGGAAGCACAAGCCCTGTGCAGAGTTGCACAATATCAGAACCATCCTTTCAGTATGGAAGAGGTGGACAGAATTTTGGCTTTTATTTATAAACAATTCTTACAATTTTGCTACTATTTCTTCCATATTTTCTCATTAAGGATGCTTGTCTACAAACAGGATTATTTGCCCAGTATTCAGCTGTGCCTGCTCCTAAATGAAGCCATAATCCTGTTGTAGCAATATTAAAACTGATGGTTGCAGAAATTATGTTAAAAAGGGGAGTGAAGTGTTTCTAAACTGATAGGGTTTTTTTTTATTTTTCAGTTTTCCATGTGGAGTCAGTACCTCTTTAAATGCCTTATTAGACACAAG